AGCGCGTACAACAATTCAAAACATTCTCCAAAAGTCCTTTACATGAAAAGCACAATAAAGATACAATCAAAGATCATTAAGCAACATGAAAACTATAAGTGTTGACGAGGCATTCGTTACTATGATGATCATGAAACTAGTGCCAAGAATTCATTTAACGTGATCATTTATAAGTGACCTCCACTACTTGTGAATATAAGTTTATAACTATTAGGTGAGACTCCCTTATATTCTAGCATCATATTCATGCATGAAAACTAAGCGTGCACTCTCAATAAACATACACGAATAAGTTATCAAACAAGCAGTTAAACAAATTGAATCCACAACTCATGAAATTCCAATTAAAGGTAATCAAATTATATTGCAAGCATATACATGGTTTCGAATCACCCCCTAGCTAACTAGGGGTTTAGCCTCGCATGTTCATAGAAAGAGAAACAAAATTGAAATCAAACATAGAGAACAAAAGATTGATTACACCTAGAACGCCCAACGATTCCACTTTGAATTTCTGCACGTTCAAGCTCCTCTTTCTTCTTCTCCTTGCTGCGGCATAGAGGTTAAGAGAGGAGCCGTGGTGGTCCCTCCCGAACCGCCTAGATCCCACGAGTGAATAGAAAGTTGGATCTACATTATGGTGATTTTGGATGGGATTTTGGTTTAAGAAGGATTTAGGATGGTAAAGGGTTGCGGATTGAAGGTGGAAGGTGGCTGCAATGGTGTGTAAGTGTATGGAAGAGGTAGAATGGTGGCTGGAATGGATGAAAGGTTGCGGTAGAGAAGGTGAGAGACTGATGGTGGCTGCGGCAAGGTATATAATGGATGGAAAGAAGACCTAGGGTGCGGCTTCTATATAAGGGTTTTCAGAAATTAAAACCCTAATTTATTTTGGGTAACTAAAATTAAGTCAAAGTCTTGTAGAATTAGGAAATCAAATCAGAAACTAAAAGGAAATTGGCTAAAATATGCGGCTAGGGTTTTATTTTGAAAGGGGAATGTGGTTAAGTGCAGAAATTAAAGGGAAAGGTGCGGCAAGGGAAAAGGGTTAGGGTTTAGGAGGTGCGGCTAGGGTTTTAGGAGAGGTAAAGTGTCCTAAAATTGAAGGGAAAAGGGATCCCTTGCACGGCAAGGGATGGGAAGAAAGGGAAGGTGCGGCAAAGGTCCCTAAGGGGTCTAGGGCCTTTGCTTTGTGTCCTAAAGTGCATACAAGGCCTTCAAAGTGGCTGGAAAATAAGGACTTTTAAGATTAGGAAAGGTTACCAAAATGGGAAAACTTGGCTTAACTTTCCTACTTCAAGTAGGAATCCTTGTTCTTCTAGGAATCCTCATGTGAGTAGGAATCCATCTTCAGTTAGGAATTCATATTTCTTCAAGTCTTCAACTCATTCATTCCTCTTTTGCTCCAAAAGGCTCCAATTTGCATCTTCTTGCACACTTTGGCTTTATAATCTGAAATCACACAAAAGTGACTTTAAACACTAAAATAACTAAGGAAACACAACATAAATGCACGAGAACAAGCCAATTAAGTCGCATAAATATGCTCCTATCAACCTGAAGTCGAAATTTGAGAACAAGGATCTTGGAAAAACTCGTTCATGCCTTGACTTGAAGTTTGAGCATTGTTCTGATTGTTTTCTGGTCCACTTATCAAACCACATCCAAAAGGTGTTGATTTTGAGTACACCCATGATCATCCATATGCACGATGCATATAAAACCCTTAAAGAGGCTTTGGAGCCCAAAGTTTCACATCTAAATTCAACTTACACTTTTTTTATACTCAGCTCATTGCATAAGGTAGGACATCTCCTTCATTATTGATTTGTTGGTAAAGATGCAACATTACAGTTACACACTGGTAATGGATTGGTATTAGTGATGTTTTTCCATTACTACAAATTTGGGCTTATCCTTATGCATCTCGAGCTGATCCAACCTCTCTGATCCTCGGATGATGTTTGCCTTTTTGTTATGCTGACATCGGCTTCTCATCAAACCCGCACAAGAGACGTTTCCAAATGTTTATGACTTTACCGTTATAAAGTAGGGCAATATCTTGGAGGTTCACATAATTGACCTTATTTTCAATGTTTTCGAACCATGACTTGTTCATTACCCTACACGATGCACACATGTACATGGGAGTTGTTCGAAGCATTATGCCACATGTATCCACCCATCGTTGAGTCCTAACAACGATCCATGAAGACTATGTTGCTTATCTCGACTAGACAATTCAATGAAGTCAACGCCAAGCTTATTTTGTATAACTTATCATCAAAGCATTAGAAGCCTGAGGTCAAGTAGATTCAAATCCAAAACTACCTCGTCGATCTCTTCATGAAGTTACAGCCAATGTCTACGTGTCAAAAGCTTACCAAGGAATTGGATTGCTTACCCTATCTCATTTGCAACACTTGTAGTTCTCAAGGGAGCATCTTAAATATACTCACTTGACCTCAATGTATTTTTTTTTTCCTTAGATTAGGACCATTTTCCCATTGGGTTTTTGCTAACCTAATAAGGTTTTGATAAGGCACCCACATTAGGATGTTCATAACCTAGTGTACATTTTCTACTACTTAATGTAACTTGAAGATGTTAAGTGTCAACATTGCATTAACTCACCTTTTTATTCTTTAGACTGCTTGTCCCACTGGGTTTACCATGGCAGGGTTTGGTGAGACTATCTCCTTATATGCACCCTTAATTTGAGACTCACGTATGCATTGCATGTGCCAAATGAGACTGACAACAACAACATCTCCTAATCATAACGATCTTGATATGACTACTTCTTAAGTTGTATAAGTCAAAGGGAACTATTGTGAATCGTACTTTATAACTTACGTGGTTGTGTAAACTAATGGGGCGTTTATGTAACTGTAATCAAAATAGAGGAATTAGATTGAGGAGGAATTGAATTGAGGAGGAATTGGATTGAGGAGGAGTTAGAATCGGATTATTGTTGAAGCTGTTTACCTAAATATTCTAGAATCAGAGTATGAATGAACTTTAATTCATATAAGTTGTTTACTAATTCAGATGAATCAGAATATAAATCAATAAGATTACTGAAATGCCCTTATTGTTTTTTGTTTTATTTTATCCTATTTTTTAATGACATTTTAGTTAGGAGTTAAGATCAAAGGGCAAACATTTAACAAATATTTTTACATTTTAGTACCCTGTAGAAGCACATCTATCTCTATTTGATTTTAAGAATTAAAAAAACATATCATAAAATAATTTATTAAAGAGAAAAATAAATTGCAATAAGTAGTAAGAAGAAAAGAGGTCAGAGCCCTCTTTGGTTCTCAAAACAGGACGGTCTTCGTCTTCAAGGAAAAAAAAAATGTTCTCCATCCTCTTTGGTTCTCAAAATAGAGGTGCGAAGGAACCCATATCTCTCTATTATTTTGGGTTTTGTTAGAAACTTGATTCTCATGATTGTTTTGATTTGTATCATTGTATGTGGTTTTGTATTTGTTTGCACCGCCATCACCGTTGGATCTCACCGTGAGTTAATAAAGATGAAATTGCAGGACATTGTGATGGGTTGGAAAGGTGAAGTTATTGGGGTACTTTCGGATTAGCCAAAAATCATGAGGGTCGTTTCAGTATAAAAGTTAGAATCCGGATGAAGAATTTCTCTAGGAATCCAAATACCAGGTCTCTCCTAAGAATCCAAATCCAAGAATTTCCATAGTGTGATTCCGGGTTTTAGATGGACCTCATGTATTTTTGATTCCCTAAAATTTTAGTAAACTATGGAATCCTTTCAATTGGGAATGATTCCTTTTCATTTCATTCCAACCCCGGTTGGTAAACACGCTATTAGAACAGTAATCCTAATAGGATTTGGAAATTAAATTCTTATAGATTTTGTATTACTTGTAAGGCAAGAAAACCCATCATGATTAATATAAAATTATAAATAAAGATACTAGGCATGAGAAATTACACACACAATTTTTCAAGCCTTTCTCACATTCTCTATTCTCTAGTCCACGTACGCTCTATTTTCTCTCTCAATAATTAGTTTCACAACAATATTATCATTAAAAAAGAAGCATGCTTGTTTGATATCTAGCATGTTAGAGAAACTAATATAGCATGTTAGAGATTTACAAATTAGAAAAGAGCGTGATTTCATATAGTAAAATGAAATGCAAAAAAATAGAAATTGGTATATGGCCAAACCGGCCAAACCAAACTGCACAATAATATTTTGGTTTGGTTTGATTCACTTAAGGTTTTAGTTAAAATCGAACCGATTCATTTATAAAATAGTTATTGGTTCGCTCACTGTTTAAGCTCGGAGTCCATCTACAGCTCACCCAAACAGCGGTCCGATCTGGCAAAAGAACAGAAGAAAAAAGGAAAATGTCCTCTCTCTCGATGCATTTCCATCTAATTTGTAATTTAGACAGTTAAAATTTGATTAAACAGTTACAGTTATTATCACTTTTAAATAGGCATCTTATTTGTAATCGTTTGATCAAATTTCAACAGTTCGGATTTCGAGTTAGGTGGATTAGGTGGAAGAAAATCCGGAGAGGATTCATTTCCAAAAAAAAATCACAAAGAGCATCTTCCCCAAAGTTGTTAAATCTTAGGTGGAGATGTCGCTGTGCATATTTTAGATAAAAAATCTTTCTAACAAAAAAATTATTTATTCTTTACTTGTGAATGAGAGGTCTTATGTTCGATTCTCGTCAAAAGCAAATTTAAACCCTATTATTACTAACTAAAGCTAAGTCACTGATTCTCTTAATATACATAATATTGTTTAGGCAAAAAAAAAAAAAAAAAAAAAAGAACAGGATTTGGCTGTTGAAAAATTAGCAGCAGCCCCTATTAATGACCAATCACAGTTAAACACGTGTCTAAATTGTTGATTTTTTACTTACAATTTGAATATGTATCTAGCTGTGATTGGTTGGCTGATTTTTTTCAGCTGCGAAGTTCTTTCCAAAAAAAAAAAGCAAATGTCAAATTTATTTTTATTTAATTTTAATGGTAGATCTTTAAACCCACTCTCTCTCTCAAATCAAACGTTCCTCTCTTCTCTTCTTCCTCAGCCGCGGGCCATCTTATTCCTTCACAGTTCGCCGCAGTTGCCATGGCTTACTCAGAGGTACTCTCTCTCTCTCTCTCTCTCTCTCTCTCTCTCTCTCTCTCAAATACGTGTGTAAACGTATTACATTCGAATTTTGATTCAGTGGGTCGTGGTGTTTCTGCGTTGAGTATAATGGGAAAGCTTAATTCTTCTGTAATTTATCTGAAAATCCGACCTTTTGTCGCAGGTTCCGACGGCGTCAACGGAGGCGATTAAGTTTGCTTTCTTATCTGACGAGGAGGTGCGACAGCACAGCTCTCTGAGGGTTACCGACCCATCTTTCCTTACTCAATTAGGAAACCCCGTGGCCGGTGGGCTATACGATAAGGCACTGGGCCCAATTGATTACAAACCCGGCGAAAGGTAACACCATTTTTCGTGCCAGTCTTTGCATTATTTTCTTGTTCGTTTGTTAGCTTCATTGTTTGGATTTGTACTCTGTAAATACATAATTCAAATGGGGGTGCGTTTTATCTTGTAATTTTAGTTTTTACCAAGTATGTAAAGAGGGAATAAGGAATGTGGAACGGAGAACGACGATGGGACATGGTGGGAGGAATGGGGGAGAAATGAAGGAGATTATATGAAATAAAAACTTGAAAGTGAACACAACTTAAAATTGTTTTCAGTTTTTGGTTTTTAGTTTTCATTTCGACATTTTGTGTGTCACTCCATATACATTCCTTTAACATTTCTTCTACCGTCATTCCTTCACCATTCGTCATGTTGATTGATTTAGCTCTTCACTTTTATGCAGTTGCGGAACATGTGGTGAGAAGTCACGTAATTGCCCGGGTCATTGTGGTCATATTGACCTTGCTTTGCCAGTTTATAATCCCTTGCTGTTCAATACTCTTTACAAACTTCTACAAAGAATGTGATTCTTCTGCTACCATTTTCGGACAGACCGAACACTTGTAATTGAACTTTGATGAAATAAAATTTGTTTCTTGAGGCCATAGTCTTTTGTGCCGTTCCTTAATTTCATTGCATTCAGAAGTTTATACAGGGATCATTTCTGCCCTAATTTTCCCATTCTCTTCTGTGCTATTTTTGGTTGATTAAGGTTGAGAAAGCTGTTTCCCAATTAAAACTCATAATGGAAGGTGACGTTGTTGGGGCTAAAATGTTAGATTCTGACTCACCTAGTGAATATTCAGACTGCAATGAGGGAGATAGTCACAATGACAAGCGTGCAAAGCAGCAAAGATGGACTTCTTTTCAGTTTACAGAGCTAATGTCTGTTTTTGAAAAGGCTTTGCCGAAACAAGGGAAGGACTGCAACAACTGCCAGGCAAAGAATCCCAAAATCAGCGAACCTACTTTTGGATGGTTTCAAATGGTATGATTTTCCATCCTTAGTGCTTGAAGCTGCTAGAGGAGTTATGAATTATCTGGTAGCATCTGCTTAAATAGTTTTTAAAAGAGAAGCATGCTTATTTTACTTTTAAACTCATGGTCAAAAGATCGTATATGAAAATTTTACTTATAATTTTTGTTTTGTGAGTCTTATCAGTCACTTTTCCAAAGTTTAATGATTGCCTTATGAACTTTTCTCAACACACAAAATTGTCAATACTGGCGGAATGGAAAGTGGGACAAAATTTTTGGCTTATAGTAAATTACGCTTTTTGTCTACCCTATTCAGCATATGATAAAATTGTGTCAACCAAGCCTATGAGAGAATTTTTTTTATTTTATTTTTTTTCCCATAATGTTTGCAAATTTAGGTTTATAGTCTTATCCCTAGGCAGCAATGTCCTTGGAAATATATCTCTTAGGTTATTGTTCTTCATTTTTAGGTTTGTGTTCTTTTTCTTATTGATTATCTATACTTCTAGTGTTTTTGTTTAAAAAACCGCACACTCGACCTTGTTCTTTAATGTAACCAACGGCAATAGACTAAACTAGCAAATATAGAAAACTTAGAAACACACAAGACTTATACTGGTTCGGCAAAACTTTTGCCTACGTCCAGTTGTGATTTCTCTAGGTAGAGAAATCACCGCTCCTTTGATTAATAATAGAGAATTACAAAACTTTTGCATAACCCTAGAACTTATCTCTCTCTCTTGTCTCGACTGTTACAGTTTTTTCTCTCACAGATATATGCCTTACCATAACCTATTTATAGGCATAGTTTCGGCTTACATGTCCCAAGGCTAATTGAATTCCTATTCTAAAAGGATTAGGAAAATACACTTATCCAAATCCAAATAGACTTCTAGAAATCCAAACCTAAATTGAATAAGGAAAACTAAAATTCTTTCCCAAACCTTCTAGGACAAGAATCAGTAAACCTCTAATTTTCCCTAAAACAATCCTAAACCAACTAGGACACTTTGACAAGCCAAAAAACCTAACAATCTCCACCTTGGTGAGTGAAACCAAGTCTTTATCGTTGCACCCCAAAGTATCTTTGAACCTTCTTGAAGTAGCTCTGGAAATCTTCAAGAGTCTTCACCCTGGCAATCTTCTTCTTGCCTCATTGCACCTCAAGTGAGGAGGTGCTCTACTTTAATCAATCAACAAGATTCATCAAGTTCAAGCAATGCTTGAACTTCTTGGCCGGCACTATCTTTGTAAGGAAATCTGAGGCATTGTCATCCGTATGAATCTTTTCAATCCAAATCTCCTTAGACTCCACCCAATCTCTGATTTTGTGATACCTTGCTTCAATGTGCTTTGATCTTCTAGAAAAAACCTAATTATCTGCCAAGTGAATGGAACTTTTGTTAGGATTTTGGCTCGTCAAATATGTCCTAGTTGGTTTAGGATTGTTTTAGGAAAATTAGAGGTATATCGATTCTTGTCCTATAAGGATTAGGAAAGAATTTCAGTTTTCCTTATTCAATTTAGGTTTGGATTTCTAGAAGTCTATTTGGATTTGGATAAGTGTAATTTCCTAGTCCACTTAGAAATAGGAATTCAATCAGCATTGGGACATGTAAGCCTACCCTATGCCTATAAATAGGGTGCGGCAAGACTTATTTTTAAGAGGGAGAAAAACTGTGGCAACCAAGACAAGAGAGTGAGATTAGTTCTAGGGTTTTGCAAAAGTTTTGTAATCTCTATTATTAATCAAAGGAGCGGTGATTTCTCTACCTAGAGAAATCACAACTGGATGTAGGAAAAAGTTCTGCCGAACCAGTATAATTCTTGTGTGTCTCTAAGTTTTCTAATATTTGCTAGTTTAGTCTATTGTCATTGGTTACATCAAAGAACAAGGTCTAGTGTGCAGGTATTTTCAACAACTTTGACTATCACACTTTAGCTTCACACAATCTTGACTGATTCCCATTTGACTTACCAAGCCACTAAGCCAAATTGCTTCCTTTCTTGCTTCGGCCAATGCAATATACTCTGCCTCTGTGGTCGACAAAGTTGTAACTAGTTGTAGTAGTGCCCTCCAATTGATTGGTCCTCCTACGCATGCAAACACATAACCAGAAGTTGACCTTCTCTTGTCTAGGTCCCCTGCATAATCGGCATCCACATATCCTAACACCCCTGCATTTTCTTTTTGCTTCTCAAACATAATCCTTTGTCGCCAAGAACCCTTCAAATAATGCAAAATCCACTTGACTGCATCCCAATGTTGCTTTCCTGGATTTGCCATGTATTTGAAAACGACACTAATTGCTTGAACTATGTCGGGACGTGTGCATACCATTGCATACATAAGGCAGCCCATGACATTAGCATAAGGCACCTTCTCCATTACTTGTTGCTCTTCCTCGAACTTAGGACATTGTTGCCCACTTAACCTGAAGTGAGCCGCCAAAGAAGTTTTGAAACTACCTTTGCTTCTTGCATGTTGAACTTCTCAAGAACCTTCTGAATATGCTTGGCTTGTGATATCCAGATCCTTCCAGCAATCCTATCTCTTTGAATTTTCATGCCAAGGATCTTCTATGCAGCACCTAGATCCTTCATGGAAACTCCTTGCTCAACATCTTCTTCAAGTCTTGAAATGCAATTAGCATGTCATCTACATATAGCAATAGCAGTATGATCATCCTATCTTGGAACACATGATAGTACATGCAACAATCATATAAACATCTTGTAAAATTGATTTTCAGCATGAAGGAATCAAACCTCTTGTACCACTGCCTTGGAGATTGTTTCAGGCCATACAGGGACTTCCTTAGCTGACATACTAGGTTCTCTTTCCCATATTCAACAAACCTTTCTGGTTGAGCCATGAAAATTGTCTCCTCTAGATCCCCATGAAGAAATGCTGTCTTCAGATCCATTTGCTCAATCTCCATGTCATGCTGAGCTGCCATTGCTAAAAACAATATGATAGAAGTATACTTGACTACAAGTGAAAAGATCTCATCATACTCCACCCCTTCCTTTTGTGAGTACCCCTTAGCCACGAGCCTCGCTTTGAATCTCACGACATCTTGTTCATGTAGTCATTCCTTTTCCTTAAATACCCACTTACATCCAACTAGCTTTATGTCTTTGGGCTTAGGAACCAACTCCCAATCAGAGTTCTTGTAAAGAGACTCCGTTTCTTTTGTCATAGCACTTATCCAACTATCTCGCTCATCACTTGCTATAGCTTCTCAATAAGTAGTCAGATCTCCTTGACTAATGTTAAGACCATAATTAACTTCGTCTTGGTCAAACCCAATCCTGTCAGGTTTCTTCTTGTTCCGATTAGGTTTGTCTAGTGCTATGCATCTTTGGAATGAAGGTTGATTGTTGGTTGGAGTTTGAACCCTTTGGGATGTCTGGCGGATTAGAGTGCCTTCAATCTGCCTTGTTTCTTGCTCTACTTGATTCCTAACTGGTGAACGATGTTGATGCTCTTCTTCTTTCTCAAAACCATCAGATTCGGCCTCTTGCTCGATTTGTTTCACCTAAGCTTCTTCTTCATCTAAACTGATTAACGGAATCTTTGTTGCTTCAATTTCAGCATTGTCCTTCTCCCTACTGCTGTCAACTTTATTCAGAGGCATTATTCTCATCAAAGACAACGTCTCGGCTGACAACCTTTTTCCTGTTGTTGATATCCCAAAGCTTGAAACCCTTAACTCCTTTCTCAAAACCGAAGAATATGCAATGTGTAGACTTCGGTTTGAGCTTGGACCTTTCATCACTTGAAATATGTGCATAAGCACTACAGCTGAACACCCTGAGCTTGAAATAGTCCACTGGCTTCTCAGACCATACCTTTTCTGCACTCTTAAAACCGAGAACTGTAGATGGTGATCTGTAAACAGCTTATGTCCAAAAATTATCAAGCAATCCTGCATGAAATTGCATGCTCCTCTCTCTCTCCATGAGAGTTCGGTTCATCCTCTCAGCAGCTCCATTTTGTTGAGGATTCTTTATTGTGAAGTGCCTTATGATGCCTTCCTGCTTGCAGTAATCGGTAAACTCATTACTTGTATTGTCACTTCTTAGGTACTTGATCTTTCTTCCAGTTTGATTCTCGGTTTCTGTTTTCCATTCCTTGAACTTTGCAAAAACCTCGGATTTCTGCTTCATGAAAAATAAACCCAAACCATCCTAGAAAAATCATCCATGAAAGTAACAAAATACCTGCCTCCACCATTTGATTTAGTTGGTGCAGGACCGCAAATATCTGAGTGAATATAGTTGAGTTGCTCCTTGCTTTAGTTATCTGTACTGCTACTTGCAAATGATACCTTTCTTTGCTTCCTGAGAACACAGTATTCACAAAAGTCCAGTTTGCAAGATGACACGCCTTCCAACAGGCCTTACTTGTGTAATTCTTGTAACTCCTTCTGGCTTATGTGCCCGAGCCTATGATGCCAGAGTTCAGTCTTGTCTTCTCTACTTTGATTTACAGAAACAGCTGCTCCCTCGATTATAGTGGTCCCAATTAACTTATACAACTTATTGGGTTGTAGGTCACCCCGCATTACCACTAGCAATCCTTTGGTTACCCTGAGTTTTCCTTTTTTAGACTTGTACTGATAA